AAATATAACACATTTAAATTGTACAAAAGTGTGAGTGCGCATGACCCATCAAGTCAAATAGGCGAAGGGTAGTTTTAACGATAAAGGTTGGAACACTGCTGTAAAATTACGCTTAACTCTTTGCAAGTGGTCGTGTTTCATAAATTGAATTCAATTCACACTGAAATTAATTGCTATCATTTATTTTAATTTAATTTTTCTCATCAAATAAAATGATCGCTCAATTTAATGTTGCATATGACAATATATAAAAATTTAATCGCTGCAATTGTACAAAAACACAGCTGAATGATATGGTGATTTATTTTTATAATTACTGTATATCAATTGAATTTTCCCGACTTTTATTTTTACTTTCTCTCCCAAATCATATATAATGATTCATATCAACTTTGTTGGTTAATTTATGAATGGATAAGCTTTTCTTTGTGCATATTGCTTTCACTTATTTCAATTTTTTATTATTGACTCGTTTTTAATCCTGGTGTCGCAGACTTGTGATGACCATTCCTGGTCCTTCGCGACTTCCTGTCAATTGCGATGAAATCCGTTACTGTATTTGAAATGTACTGTAATACTGAATTTGTATTGTGATTTCTTGCACGACGAAATAAACTTATTGTCTATTGTCAAAGCCGAAATATCCATCCCATCTGTACCGGCATAGGCATCTATGTGTTAAGTGAAATAAAAATGTGTGCAAAATAACATTGGCGGAGGTCATTTCACTATTGCTGAAATCATAAAGGCATTTTTAATTGGGCTATAATATTTTGGATTCGATAGTTTATTAACTTGTATTCTATCATGTAGGTTATGTCCTGATTACGAGGATAGGCGAATGAGGTGAAAGCGAATTTCACGAATCGAGAGTTCGTTAAAGTAAGTGTATATATTATTGTCTTTCCATGACTTACTCGTTATCATGTTAAAACCCTGCTGGAGATGCGCGCGTGCTTCAGCTTGCGGTCCACAATTATCAAATACTTCCTCCCTTTGCCTATTTCTCCTTGTTATGCGTAAGCAACTCTGGTTTCAGTTTTCTTCAGGTTTATCAGGTAGTTGCCCACAACTCGCTTTTTAACGTTCAAGGTTTTAAGTAGTTGTATGCTTTAATACCACGTGCAATAACGCTAAATAAGTAAATGTTAAAGTAAGTACTATCCACATATAGAAGTTTCCTTCGCTAAAAAAATAAAATAATGAAAAATATTTATAGTGCTAATCAGTTACCAGCACGTTCTTAGTCATATGAGGCGTTCTTCATTTTGAGTGTTATCGTTTGTGAGTCTCATGACGAAATTCGGTTGGTGGTTCATATTATTGTGTAGATTTGAATATATATATATGCTTTATTTCAAGGGTTGTCAAATTTTATTTTATATTTTAGTCCTATTTTTTCCCAATTTCGTAAACTTGCTACAAGAACTTCAAGGGGCAGAATGTATTAAATGTAGAAATGTGCAATGTTTACATTAAAGCTCTTAGCTAGTTTGTAACCAACAAACATGGTCTACCTCCGTAGTGAGAGCATAATAACTCTTATTACACAAATCCTAAAGCTCGGAAATGCCCGCGGTGACAGATTTTACCAAGAAATAAATACTTGATGATATAGTGTGTATTAAACTCAAATATATATATATATATATATATATATACGATTGTCAAAATAAGTTCTTTGTTACGCTGCATCCTATCGCTACTGTTTTTCTTGTTTTTCTTGTTTTTCTTGGTAGATTGAATCAAATCTTCGACGTTTAAATTCATTGATTGCTAATTTACCCTGTTCACCCCCATTTATCCTAGAGACTGAGAACCCCAGTTTTTATTTTATAACTAATCCACAAGATGGATTAGAGAAATTGAATTGCGAATCAGTAGTTACTCATTACCCAAGCATATAATATTCTTTAAAAGAAACTCTATAGCAGTAGTTCTAAAATCTTTTTAAGCCGCGCCCCTTTTTAGAATTTGTCAAGTTTCGCGCCCCCACCTCAAAAATAACTTGCTAACAAGCTACAAACAACGGATAGTTAAACGAAAGTATGCTTTATTCAAAAATACATGTTGAATACGTAAAAGGAAAGTGAATATCTAAAATAAAGAAATGTAAATATCCAAAATAAGGCGGGCAAGATCAATCTAACAAATATTTATATATTTTAAATTAGCTAAACGCAACCTAAAAAGTTGTCTACGCATCCCTTGTGCGCGATCGCCACTGTTGTTTACGATCAGCAACTATTCCTATTGAAGACCGATGTCTGACTTTTATTTTATCATGCAAATTCTGTCCGGATTGCGGAACAAGTGGATTGAGGCGACAACGGATCTCACAAATCATCTGTCTGTTCAAATTAGGTATTTTTGTAATTGTGCATTGTTTCAGCTAGAATATTTGATAATATTGTTTCATATTCATTTAAGCTGTGAAATCGGGATGTCGTTTCATTTAATTAGCAGTCTTGTGTACTTGAAAGTGTTAATTAGGGCGCATTTGTCATTGTTGGGCGAAGTCTTTAAAATCCAATAGTTCATTACCAGTTCACAAGTTATTCCATTTAGAAAGTTTCGGTAATATTGGTGAGCTAATATTCCAGTTGCGAAAACGCACTTCTTTGCCTCATTCATTGCTGCTTTTTCCTCTATACACCACGGAAGTAACTATAGTTACTGTTGCTATTTGCGGCATTAGGTACACAAACTTGCAGAAGAATTTACTCAAGTTGCCGGTCTGGAGTCTGAAATCGTTGGACATGAAGTGGACATGAGATCGTTTTGTTATTATGTTATTGGTATTATTGAGAATCTTCTTCTTGTTTAACTAAAGCAATCAAAATTAAAAATTGCGCACCCTGTGGCGTAGTGACTGCATACTCGTACTACTTCGTTTTGATTTTCGTGTCCGTATATTTGAGCATCGCTATCGTGATATATCAAATTGAAAGCTTAGTTTCGAATCTCATGAATTTTTGAGTTGAGGTTGTGCAAGTCGATGTTTAAATTTTTAGGATCTGTGTTTCATCGGTGGTGTCAAATGTAATCCATAATCGCCCTGTGCTCTGTTGAATCCGTTTTAGTATTTCAGTTGCGTTCTGGTTGGAAAGATCAAAGGACAGTCGACAACCGGACACGTACGTTGAAGAACATTGGAATGAATTGTCCTACCATCTTGATTATATAAACGGTGTATTTCAATTTTTTATATAACCATCTTTCTACCAGAGTTTGCCGGATATCAAAGCTTACCCCAGTAGTGGCGTATCTACGTGAAATGGCGCCTATGGAAATGTTTAAAATGCGCCCTCTTGATCGATCGTTTGCTGAAATTTTCAACTACGGTTTAATGCTTTGGGATACTTTTACGTTACTTAAGTAGTTTTTATCAAAATGGGGTTTCGCCCATTGTGCGCCCTTATCCAAATGGCGTCAGGGGCAGTGGCCCACTTGCTATATATGTATGCCACTGAGCCCAGGTATCGCCCAGAAATTCACAACTCTTTCATTTCGTGTCTGATCATGGCAGAAAAGCTTGATATGTCAATGTTGCTCGCTTTTAAACAATCCGTCCCTGCATTCCCATTAATATCTCAATTTTTTTTTCGAAGACTAGATGTATTCTCTTGCTTGAAGAATAATAAAATTATTAAAGCAATATCTGTTTCTCCATGCTTGTTGGTTGTCGGGGACTGGGTTTTGTTAAAGGCTAATAAGAAATGGGGGTTGGAGCATAGGTGTAAGAAGTGTCTCGACGTCCTCTTGACTGGTTTCTGCGGATTTTACACTAGGACGTCATAAGGTTATGACGTCACAATGGCTAGCCGCGATTTATAGGGAGCCCTGGGGCCGGGCCCGTGCTGAAACAACGCGATTTTTTTTTATCTCTGGCCGATCGTAGACCATAGATAAATCGAGTATAACTACTGAAATTTATACGCGATCAAGCATGATCATACATGGTCCAGATAAAAATGTCAAAATCCTCTATTTTTTAAAGGTTTGACCCTTCCATTTCCTTCATATTTTGGGGTTTCTGTAGTCCACAGCTCGAGTTTCTCCTTCGTTATCACAGCTCGAGTTTCTCCTTCGTTATCACAGCTCGAGTTTCTCCTTCGTTATATAGAATATAGATATTTGCGCCGCCCTTCCAACGACGACCCACATTTGACAAGCGGATGTTACGTTCGCGGGATTCAAACTTTAGTCACCGTGAACAAATTTATGGTCTACCCAGCGCCTTTACCAACCAGGCCAACTTAGAACTTAGAAACATATGTCTAAGATCTAATATTCATGTATCATCTCGAAGACCTTGTAAATAAAAATTTATTAGGTCATTTAAGATAAATGATGAATATTAGAACTTAGATCCTTGCTCTCGCGTTCCTCCTCGGCCTAGTTGGTAAAGGCGGTATATTTATACCTTTAGTTTGTTCATGGTGACCAAAGTTTGAATCCCGCGAACTTACTGTCCCGTATCAATTTCGTGTCGTCATTAATTGGATTACGCAGATATCTAAAGTATGAAGGAAGCTCCGACTTGTAAGAAGATAGAAATCCCAAAATAAACGAAAATGGAGAAAATCGAAGGGTCAGAGTATGAAGGAAGCTCCGACTTGTAAGAAGATAGAAATCCCAAAATAAACGAAAATGAAGAAAATCGAAGGGCGTCAGTCAGACCTTGGAAAATGAAGATTTTTGAAATTTATATTCGGATCATGCATGATTGTGGATTAATTTTGGGAATTATACTCGGTTTATCTACGGCTAATGGTCGGCCACAGATAAAAATTAATCGCGTCGTTTCGGCCCGGACCCAGCGCCGACCTGCCCCAAAATACCGCTGCTCCCTAGGGTGAGGTCATAATCCTAGTGACGTCATACGCATGCTGCATACGCCCTTTCGGCATTCCGATGACTGCTAGTTTATCCCGAACAACTAACTATCCGAAACCTGACAAACCAATTCCAGAAAGCATGGAAATATTTTTTCACATTTATTTATTAATATCCATTAACAAAAAGAAACTATGTTGAAATAACAAAAACTGCAAAGATTTTAGGCACAGAACGACGAAATTTGTGACAAAGTACAGGAACCTTACCAACTTACAAGATACCGTATTCGAATGAATCTTGCGCTTATATCTATGATAGAAGTCTACGAGCTGATAGTTATTTAATGGCAGCCCTCACATGTACACATCAAGAAATCTCAAGTGTCCCTAACCAATCGATACCTATCATGACCCACGATCTGGGTTGGCTAAGCTAAGCAAGCGCTGACCTCCTCTAAAACCCGGATACAGAACTGATTAAAATAAAATGGAAAATACGATTGGTACAATTCTAAAACACTCCATATCTCGATAACTGCCATTTTACGCCTGCTTCATGTGGGATTAATCATCTTCTACTTCCGTCAAGTACACACCTGAAATGTATAATACTAGTTAACCACTTAACGACGACGGGGTCGTTTTCGGGACATTGACTTTATTGCACCCCATAGTACGAACCAGGATAGCTAGAGAGAAAGCGGCGATTGTCCCGAAATCGTCTGTACCCACTCTCTCGTTTGAGCCTATTTAGCGCCACCAAATGTTTCATATTTTGTGGTCAGCCATCTTTGTTTACATTGATGTCGGTTGAAATGTGATGTCTGTAGCAGTCGGATTTCGTCGTCTTTTTTGGGGTATAAAGCTTTACCCCAGAGAGTCGAAAAAAATCACAGTAAGAGGCCGTTATGTGTACTTTCATTTGGTAAAAAGAGTTTTGCCTAACAATTAGTTGTTTACTGCTGACGCCAGTTTTCCCAACTGTCACTAAATCGTCCCATCCGTCCATGTTTTGCAGTTTAAGTTGTCTTTCATAAACCAAGACACTTGAAATTGAAGAGCAGAAATAGGAACATAATCTAATATGTTTTAAGTATGTGTAACTCTGTTATCGAAATTTATATATAGTGATGTTTAATTAGTTAAAATAATGTCTTTCCCTCTAAACCTGATAATATTTTGATCAAGTTTTGCTTCTGATTGACTGGCTAAAGCCTAAAGTAATGATAATATTTTGATCAAGATTTGCTTCTGATATTGACTGGCTAAAGTAATATGCAGGAATTTCTTCAAATTGTTTAGTGGTAGAAGTAATTTATTCAAATAATGAAAAATGGATGAGAAGGAGAATTGGAGAATCCGCTTTCCACCTAGTGGGGATGTTAGCGAAGACAGTGACTGCAGCAGTAGCGAAGATGAATATGTACCACCGAAAAAGATTAGAGACTATGCCTTGTTGTCAGAAAGTTCAGATGACGAAGCTGCTAGTCAGGATATATCCATTGACCAGGGAGGAGAAAGTGATCAGGAAGCAAGAGGGTCAGGCGAGATGTCAGTTTCTTCCGTGGTTGAAGTCGAGGTGTGTATTGGAATCAATATCCCACGTAGGAAGCCCGTATGGAGGATTGTACAGGAAAGTGACCCAGAATCAGCACGAGAGCTGCCTGCATGGAAAGGCCGTGAGTATGAATCGGAAACAGTGCGAGCACCAATTGAATATTTCAAATATTTTTTTGACTCGGATGTAATGCACCAAATAGTTGCGGAAACCAATATCTATGCGAGCCAAAGCGATCCCTCCAAACAACTAAACCTTACAATTCCAGAAATGGAGAAGTTTCTTGGTTGTGTCGTTTACATGTCTATTTTTCGTCTACCGAGAACACGTATGTTTTGGGCTGTGGAAACAAAGGTTAACTGCGTTGCCGATGTAATGACCCGTGATCGATGGGAAAGATAAAAAAGATGCTCCATTTCAATAACAACGATTTACTTCATGGCGATTCTGATGTTCAACAAGATCGATTGTTTAAAATCAGACCCCCGTTAGAAATGCTTAAAGCAAAATTCAAACCACTGCATCAAGAGCAAGTTTTATGTATCGACGAGCAGATGGTTCCGTTTACTGGGAGGTCAGGGCTGAAACAATATCTTCCCAAAAAGCCCCACAAATGGGGGTATAAAATCTTTATGTTGTGTGGAACAGATGGTTTGGTACACAACTTTGAAATATATACAGGAAAGATACATCCTGTTTCTGGTTACCCTGATCTCGGAGCTAGTGCTAACATAGTCATCAAACTGACCGATAATGTGGAGAATGATGTAAATCACATACTCTGTTTTGACAATTGGTTTACGTCCATACCTTTGATGTCCGTTCTCGCCAAAAGGAAGATCTATTGTATAGGGACGGCGAGACAAAATCGGTTATTGGGATGCGAGCTGGAATCTGACAAAGATTTGAAAAATAGAGGACGGGGATGTTATCAGGAAAAGACGTCATGTGTTGAGGACACTGAAATAAGAGTTGTGAAGTGGTATGATAAACGAAGTGTAACTATTGCCAGTTCTTTTGCCAGCGCCATGCCCACATCAGAAGTCCGAAGATGGGACAACGTCACGAAACAGCACATAATGGTGACTCGTCCTTTTATGGTAGATTTTTATAACCGTAGCATGGGAGGCGTAGACTTGTTAGATGCGCTTATAGCCTACTATAGAATACGCATTCGGTCAAAAAAGTACTACCTGAGGATCTTCTTCCACCTGGTTGATTTGGCTATTGTAAACAGCTGGATCCTATACAGAAGAGATTGTGAGTCCCTGGGAGTTGCGAGTAACAAGCAGCGAGATCTTTTATCGTTTCGAAGTTCGGTGGCAGAATCTCTTTGCAAGCTTGGGAAAATATCGACTCCGCTTAAGCGAGGCAGGCCATTGTCTACTACCCCACCACGAATCAGAAGAATAGCTACTCCACATCCCAACAATGAGGTTAGAACCGACGCCACTGGCCATTGGCCTGTGGTAGAAGCTAAGAGACAGCGATGTCGTTTCCCTGGGTGTGATAGCAAGCCGGTAATCAGATGTACCAAATGCGGAGTATATTTATGCTTAAACAAAGCCAAAAATTGCTTTGCGTGGTACCATGGCGTATATTAATGACCAACAGTACGGTCCACTGAACATTTTCTGTTGTCCGATTTCGTTTATTTTGAATTGAATTTGTTATATTCCCATTCGTATCAGTCGCAATACGTGTGAGTATTGACACAATAAATTCATCACGTGGACGAGTGTATCGATTTCGTGACAAAATTTTTTCTCCCAAATGGGGGGTAAAATAAAAAAAATAAGTTTGAATTCGTATTCTACGGCCTTGAATTAGCAAATAACCGAAGCGGCGATTTTTTTCTCTCAGCGGATCATAATTCCGGCATTAAGTGGTTAACACGGTGTTGGAAGAAATATTTCACAAATCGCCATGATTTTACTTAAAATATAATTTCTGGACTAGAATTGCTACCCGCAATTCCATAATCTGTAATTAAAATTACGAGTAAAACACCCATATGCTTGGGATTAAATTTAAAAAGCAACACTTGGGATTCGGGTAACAGCGAAAATTTACAGCATTTGAAATATCTCCGCAAATCGATTCTATAACCTTAAAGCAGTGGTCGGCAACCTTTTGTCGCTCGTGGGCCAAAATTAAGGGTTGCAAGTCATTGGCGGGCCGCACACATTTTTAGAAAGTTGAAAACCGAACGGATGATACTTTTTATAATAAAAATCAAGCAGTGATACATCTATTGAATAGAATAGATTTATTTCCTCATTGCATTGCACCTCAAAAAATACCATTTGAAACCCATTTGCGGACCGGGTTATATTACTCCGCGGGCCGTAGGTTGCCGATCCCTGCCTTAAATGGATGTAATTGAGATAGCCATAGACAGGGACGTGCCAAACTTTTCTGCTGCCCAGGCGAGTTTCCGATAATGGTGCCCCTTATACCCAATTTGAAAAAGGATTTGGGGGTAAACAAATCATAGCTAGGCGAATATACTAAAATTCGAAACTGCAGTTAAAATTGTATATTAAAGATACCGATAAAGTAATTGGTTGAATAATTTTTTCACTATATACTTCACGCCTTCATAAGAAGAAATAAAATAATTACTTACTTTATCCAGATTTGTAATATTGAGATCGCCTTGATTCGCTGTTCCCGTCAGAATCTGAATGTTAAGTTAAAGTTTAAAAATGCGGATTTTTTCACAAGAATAACATCTATTTACATATCTGTGGCTATTTGACGAAGAATGCTGTTATGAGAGACGGGCTGTTTTCTTCTCAGTGAGTTATTGATAAAACATGATTCTTATTGTGAGTGATGACTTATCGAACTGACTGAGTGATGGATTCTACGTTTTCAGTAATCTATATTAAAATAAAAGTTTGCATACAATCATGTTTAATATGAAATTTAAATATCTTCTTATAGTAATCAAGATTCGATTATTAAGTTATCAGGTATTCCCGGCTTTAGTATTTAATGTCAGTTTAGCAGGTGCTCCCAAAGTATGTGCACCAAGATGGCGCACAACCTGAACATAGTATGTGTGCCAGGTTAGGGTTATCAGTTGTGCGCCATCTTGGTGCACATACTTCTGAAGCGCTGTTTAGAATGACCCAACACGCAGTGGAATGGATCTGTGGCTATTTGACGTAGTGTGCTGGTATTAGTGATGGACTTCCGTCTCTGAGTAAAATATTGTTCATAAAAAATGAAGCGATTCACCTGTCCATTCACATCGATCAATTGCCACTCGCTCACCAGCAGAAACAATATCTTCTACCTTCACAAAGACCTGTGATTAAATTGGAAATGACGAAACCTTCGCTTTATAATAAAGTTGTGACAAAAACCTTAGATTTTGTAACATACCTACCTTCCCATTTACTTCGACCGATCATCACTCGTCCTCTAGCAGTGACAATATCTTCATTCTTCGCAAAGCCCTGTAATTAAGTTAAAAATTATAAAACCTTTGCTCTATATTCAAGTTGTGATAAAAACTTTAGATTTTGTAACATTTTTAGACCAACTACCTACCTTTCCATTTACATCGACCAATCGTCACTCGACCACCAGCAGTAACAATATCTTCGTAAAGCCCTGTAATTAGGTTAAAAATTATAAAGCCTTTACTTTTTAATCAAATTATGATAAAACTGATAAACTACTTTAGATCAGCTACCTTTCTACCTACATCAATCAGTCGTCACTCCACCATCAACCATGCCAATATCATATATCGGTAGATTTTTCTTCACTTTTAAACCTGTAGTTTGATAATAATAGTTATGGCTTACTTTTAAGCGATGATACAAAGTTCTTGTGCAAAGTAGGAAAATTATAAACAGCACGTTGACGCGGATTACAACTCACAAAATATATGATCAAAAATCAAGACTTGATCCATAAAGAAAAACGTTGCAAAACACGTGAATAAATACACTCGAAAGGTATATAAGAAAAGAAACAAGAACTCGATGCTGAAATCTATATTCATCATATAACACTCAAAATTCTGAATATGACTGAAAAAATGCGCTACCCAATTGTATCGAAATAGATTATTATTTATACAATTCAAGTTCTAGCTTATATATGCATGAAGAATGGGAACTAATTAGTTGACTTAATTATATCCAGACCTTCCCTGCCTCAAAATTGTGAATATACATGGCTCAGACCAGCGCAGGAACGACCTCACACTACCACGCCCTGAACCGAAATGTGGCACGCGAGCCAAATATTTTTTTGAGGTCAAAAGAGAAAAAAAGAACAGTATCAAAGAGAAACACAAGAGAAGGGAGTTGTCATTTTCAATAAAGAAACAAAGATATCTCATTCTCACTCTAATCAGTGACCAATGCTTGTTGTTTACTAGTGGAAATAAAGAACGTCGATTTATTTGGGATGTGACTGAGAAGATTGTCTGATTAAACCACATTCCATGGAACCTTTTTCAGGACAACTATTTATTTATTGTTAGTATATTTGTGTTTCGTTATAAGCCCAGTCTCGACTAAACATGTTCTAGGGGTCATAATAGAGCATTAGTGACGTTTACGGGGCTCCATTCCTTTGGGTAATTATAATCGGAATTGATCTTATGCGACGTTTGTTGACATGATCTACACTCTACAGAACTTCACTTCATGTTTGTGATTGAGTAGGTACACATAATACAAGAACGACACTTTGGCGCAACAATATTTTTTGCTTTTCTCATAACTATTGAAACAATAAAGGGTGTCCATTACAATTTCAATTTTGTTATAAAGTCAGTTCTTAATATATCTTAACCAGGTTTGTTGTTTGTTATTCAGTAATTGTTCAAGTATTTTATACCTCTGTGAGGGCAAAATCTATAAATGGCATTGATAAATTCCCTCTGCAACTTTAAAAAAGTTTAAGAGACCCTATATGTCCTTTAACCCAACATCATTTAATATCTTGTCACTTTTTATTGAAATTATTCTTTTCGGACGCGAAAAATAACATCCCCTTGGAATTTCTCTGACAGTCTTTAGCTAGAGATGTACCGATACCACTTTTGTCGCCGATACCAATACCGATCCGATACCAGTTAAAAACGCCGATACCGATACGCCGATAATACAAAAAGACCGATATTACCGATACTCCGATACCGATACTATGTATTTATTACTTAATTAGATGTGCTGTGTGGGGCAGACGGGTTAAAACAGTAGTCTTTGAGCGTTGTTCATAGTACACATTATTTCAGATCATAAAAAGAGATATCACATAATATAAAATTGATGTTTGGTATCCAGATGCTTTAACTGATTAGTGACGCTAATCATCTCGGTGTTCAATTAGAAAACTCATAAGCCGGGATGTCCAATTTGAATTTATTGTTAATATCACGACCTTCCAATATCGTTATTCGTGTTTAAAAAAATATCGAATATCGCCCACACATTGTAGCGCCGCCGTCCTACGTTCAAATTAAAAGCATTTTACGTCGAGGGCTTTTAGGCGGTCATGTTAATATATCTATAAAGAAATTGTGTAGTTAAACAAAATTAAAATTAATACCTGCGTAGAAGGATAATTGTGTCGGAATTTAGTTTATTGATGTCGTCGGACTAAATGACATTCGTACTTGACGACAAACAGTCAGAATTTATTTTAAAGCCTCGCCAAAAGTGCATGTGCCGTTAATAAGGACTCCAATCCCACTATATGATTTAAAAATGGGCGCCTATAGTTACTTTTTGTTATGTGCTGTGTTGATATATTTTTTCATAATTACTATGTAATATTAAAAATGTCAACATATAAATTTGACAGCGAAAATAGCCAAATTAGTTGAGCTAGTTTGGCTGATAAATAGCTAAAAACAGGTGAATCCTATTTCCTCACGGGGGGTGGGGACATGTATGGCTCATAGCTCACGATCTCTCCAGACAAAAAATAAATTGAAAAAACAAAATTGAAATTAATACTTGCGTAGAAGGATAATTGTGTCGGAATTTAGTTTATTGATGTCGACGGACTAAATGACATTCGTACTTGACGACAAACAGTCAGAATTTATTTTAAAGCCTTGCCAAAAGTGCATGTGCCGTTAATAAGGACTCCAATTCCACTATATGATTTAAAACTGGGCGCCTATAGTTTGCCTATAGTTATGTGCTGTGTTGATATATTTTTTCATAATTACTATGTAATATTAAAAATGTCAACATAAAAATTTGACAGCGAAAATAGCCAAATTAGTTGAGCTAGTTTGGCTGATAAATAGCTAAAAACAGGTGAATCCTATTCCCTCACGGGGGGTGGGGACATGTATGGCTCATAGCTCACGATCTCTCCAGACAAAAAATAAATTAAAAAGTAGTATTCTAACTTATCTTTTGAAACATTCTGGACTGTATCAAAAAAGTAAATATATTGGAAATATTGGCCTTAATCTAACCGATACCGATACATGGCCGATATATATCGCCGGTACCGATACCCGATACCGATACATCGGTACATCTCTAGTCTTTACCCCTTGTGTCACTATGCACATACGTCACAGACATGCGTTTCACCAAGTATCTCAGTGGTAAAGTCAGTATGATATCTCACCCATACCGCGCAGTTCAATGTTGTGTATGAATCATCGAACCATTAAGTCGGGGTCACCGCTCACAGATCATCCGAGAATTGGGCGAAGTCTTGAGTCCGACGTCGAGTTTATCACTAACTTGGTAAGCGACGAATTCCAGCTAACTGATCTGAATATCATATGGCGAAAGATCTTACTTATTGAACTGCTAACTAATATTCATCTATTTGGATATTTGCGTGCACTATTATTTGTTCTGAGGAACAGCATGTAACTACGATGGTTTGCATTTATTTGATTATTTTCTGAATGTTTGCACTGTACTAGATGAATTGGTGGCATTATGATGGTCTCAGGCAAATTTTTAAAATGCTTCTCGCTTCCTATTTAATGGAAAAGGTTGAACTTGAAAATTTCTTAGATGTTTGTACGACCTAGTCGTTCAAGCCCATCAGCAATGTTGATTCCCCTACAAATGTTGCTTCTATTGAGCAGTGCGAGCAATTAAGTTGCCTGACTCTTTTGAAGAAATAACGGGTATCTTAATTCGTAATAAAGCAATTCCGCCTAAGCAGTTTACCTCTTTTAATTTTCAGTGCTGTTTAATGTCATTTCTATATTTATCACCGAAAATCTAATGACTGACTGACAAGCGCACGCAAACAGGACACAACAGAATGGAAAGGACAATTTTCTTGTTTTGACAGAAGTGACGAGCACTCATACTCATAATTATGTTATGTGCGAAAATAAATTAAGTTTTAATAGAGCTATTAATGTTGTTAACTCAATTTTCGATAGTCACATATTTTTGTATGCCTACACCTTGCTGAAATGCTAGCGTTAATATTAAATGTAATACAGCTTGTATATATATGTCAGTCATATTTGCATTAAATCTAAGCAAGCCATATTCTTTTATTTGTCGATTGGAATTCATGTTCATCATATCGTAGAAATGTCCTAAGAGTCCTGCCACATCTTTCTGTTAGACACGGCCTAAACCATCGCGTCGTCATGCGCAAGTCGGATGCAATTATATTACGTGTGCTACTGTTTTAAGATTTCCAGCCAGCCGCGACTCTAACCTGGCACCGCAACTATATACATATTACACTGCACATATTACTCTATATAGCTCGGAGGGCGATTATTGCTGCCCATTCCTTCCACTCTAATATACTTTGTTCCAGATAAGAAATAAGGCGCAAAATGTTCGAAAATGTCTGAAGAGCACAGCCCAAATTTTAGACGAAAATATAATCTTATCTTCAGTAGTTTTATTAAAAATCACAACACGAGATAAATGAGCAGATATAAATGTTTTATATAATCGGCACACAGAGATCGAAAGTTAAAAACAACTGCATTTTAAAATTAAAATAATCAAATCGGCAAACTTCAGATGCTCTCTATAAAAAGCCCACCCCAATCCTACAGCAATTAACATGAATAAAGAGAGTAATCAACCCATACAGACTCGCGGAACGGTTTTACTCAAAGCAGAAAATCCAGAGGTCTTGCATAATTATTATTTGATATCGTAATTTCGAAGTCAAATCAATTTGAAACTTGTACAATTCGCCAAAAAAAAAAATATTTCATCAACAAAAAGTTTCTTTCTAAGAACATTTACATAATCATCTGCGCTAAAAGTATTTAAAAAAACCCAAAATAAATACAAACTTTCGGTAATGTAAAGATGACCAAATTTTCAAGAAATCAGATCAGCAAACGGAAGGAGTTATATTACTATATTGAGTCTTTGTAGCCGATATTTTGAACCTTCATATTTCGGATGTTGATACGAATTAATACAGAAATAAAATTGAAATTGCTGTAAACCTTACACTGAGCTGGAGCAGGACATTTTGACGAATTAAGCCAATTTAAGACTCAATAGCATCCCTCTCTGTGTAAAAAGCCACCCAATTCCCACAGCAATTTCAATAACGGAATTCAGAATATTTGAAATCAATAAGGTAAGCAAGCAAGCTTACACAATCCGTCAAAAACGTGAAATTTGGTTAAGAATATTCCCGTAAATCAGGTTCGTTCCAGTATTTTTTAAAACACTGATAGCAACAACAAACAGTGGCGGCGCGTGGTCATTTTGACAGCCGGGGCAAGCTACTGCGGGACCAAGTCCCCCCATCTACGGGGACAGGATGAGCGCTGTAAGTTCTCCCATCATTTTATGAGTATAAAAACCAT